TTCAATAAGTAGAGTAAAGATTTGATATTTTGTCTGCAATGGTTAGACTGGATGTATTTATATAATTGAAAAATAATTACATATATACATAAATTAATAAGTAGCTATTTATTTTAAAAACTACTAACTGGAAGGGTTGCCAATAAGATGTAATTACATAGTATAAAACAAAGTCGCTGTCGCTGTCTCTCCGTCCCTATGTATGCTTAAATCTTTAAATATACGCAACGGATTTTGAAGCAGTTTTTTTTAATAGATAGAGTGATTCAAGAGGATGGTTTATATATATAATACATATACATCTGTGCGGAACCTGGGCGAGTAGCTAGTATATAATAAAACCGAGAACATCCCAGTTAATTTAGTCACATAAATTATGTTATACAATAATGAAATGCAAACTTACAATTCATGGAACATCTTAGTACTCACCCTAAGTAAACGATACAGATTCGATTCACAAATTCAAATATAAACTCCACAGAACGGTATAATGTGTAACGAAATATAAAATACTCTATAGCCGCACCGATCCTAACCATCTGTTGGTTTCTGTTCAATTATTAAAAGAATCTCTCCCTTACATTTTGGATAATGAAAATTTAATCATCTTCTCCCTTAAGTCAGCACTTATCTGACTCAAGATAAAATTCTCAGTTCAAAAGCTATAAGAGATTTTATGAATATTATGTCTCCATTTTGATTCGGCGCGTATTAATCCAAAAAGGATTTGAAATATGCAGACATGTTGTTGTTGTTAGTCTTATAGAGGTTTATGATATTTCAGGAGGTAACGCAGGATTTTTTTTAGCTGTCCCGGCAATCGTAGTTTTGCCTTAAAATAAAAAAAAAATTAGGGGTGGATTACCCCTAACATTTAGGGGGATGAAAAATAGATGTTGGCCGATTCTCAGACCTACTCAATACGCTCACAAAATTTCATGAGAATCGGTCAAGCCGTTTCGGAGGAGTATGGGAACGAAAACTGTGACACGAGAATTTTATATATAAGATTTTGTCGCTTGTTATGACTTATGGAAGAGATAGCACCTGCACGTCTGCTACCAAGTTAAGTGCTCTAGCTGTGGATGAGGTATGTATAGTAAGTGTTTATAATAATTTATCTATTTATGTGAATACAAACTACCAAATAGTAAGGTACATAAAAGTAATCGAAAGGTGGGCTGTGCTACAGTCTCTCCAGCGGTGCCAAATTGACTATCGATATATCATAGCGTTGAAATGTTTGTATGAAAACGCCACTATGTCAGTTCGTCTCCACGACCAGAATTCGAAGCCTATCCAACTGCAGCGAGGTATCAGACAAGGCGATGTCATATCGCCAAAGCTGTTTACCGCTGCGTTGGAAGATGTCTTCAAGCTTCTGGACTGGAGCGGGCTGGGCATCAACATTAACGGCGAGTACATCAATCACCTTGGATTTGCCGACGATATCGTTGTCATGGCTGAGACCCTGGAAGATCTTAGCAAAATGCTCGAAGACCTCAGTAGAGTCTCACAAGGAGTAGGTCTTAAAATGAACATGGACAAGACGAAAATTATGTCAAACACCAACGTCGTACCTGCTCACGTAAAAATCGGAGATTCTACACTCGAAATTGTCGATCACTACATATACTTAGGGCAAACTATCCAGCTAGGTAGATCCAATTTCGAGAAAGAGGTCAATCGTCGAATCCAACTCGGATGGGCAGCGTTCGGGAAGCTCCGATATATCTTTTCGTCCAAATTTCCGCAGTGTCTTAAGACGAAGGTTTACGACCAATGTGTGTTGCCAGTGATGACTTACAGTACAGAGACGTAGTCCTAACTATGAATGAACATGAACTATGAGTAAGCTCTGAGTTACTCTGCGTGATAGAATCAGAAATGAGAAGATCCGCCGAAGAACTAGAGTGACCGACTTAGCCCGAAATGCCCTGAAATATTACTTAAATAACAATCTAAATCAGTTATGGTTATCAGAAGAGACTAGTTCCTATAAGCAGCCCCACTTCACAAGTATAACGGGTGAGCCAGCTATCACTACGCTCAACTATATTTTAGGGTGCCCAATGACCTGTTCCAACACTTCTCTGGACATTTAAGTGCATGACTAACTCATGACTCCCGCCCAAGTCATCAGTAATATTAATAACTAGCTGTTCCCGCGACTTCGTCCGCGTGGAATTTAACTTTAATTTTCTAAAATATAAGTAGCCTAAGTTACTCTTTATTACATCAGCTACCTGCCAAAAAAAAGTCCCGTCAAAATCGGTCCAACCATTTCAGAGATTAGAACAAGAAGACAGACAGACAGACAAAAATTGTACTAAACTGTACATCTTGTTTAAATGTGTAACTTGTAGCGTAGTATACTAAGTAAAAGCAATTAGAAAAATATTAAAGTACCCAAAGAAGAATATAAAATAAATACTCTTTGACTAAAACTACTAGATTTAAGTTATTATTCTAGTATATTTATTACTACTACCGGCATACAACAATGCATTGTTTTCAAAAACACAATCAGAAGTTTATACAGCAAAATCCTTACCATAGTTGACAATAGTTTCGAACTTTCTGAATTACTGACTAATTTGTAACAGCTGCGTACATGCCGCTCGTAATTTACAAAGAGGTGTTAGTTGTATGGCCTTGAGAGGTGGCATAATACGTTTAAACTGAGGTAAGTAGCGTATTAATCTGTATGTAGTTAACAAAGCTTGAAGTTGTATCCGTTTGTTGCTGAAACTTGTAACAAAGATTCATTAATATCCCATTGATACTATCATTTCTTAGTGCAATGTTTTCATTACAACGATAACTGCTGTAGACAGCAGTTATCGTTGTATCTATGTTTGTATCTATATCCGTCATACTCGTGAACGGGTGCTGCTTGTAGGGACTGGTCTGCTCTAATCGCTATGACTGATTTCCTCTTATTAATTGTTTAACCAGTTGGTTATGTATTCAATATTTTTTCTTTTTGAGTATTTAATTGAATTAGTGCTAATTGGTGGTTTGTATTCACACATTTAAACTTAAAAATGTAAAGTAATAATAAAATTATTTAAAAGAGCAACACGCAAGTTTCTTGCTCGTTCTTCTTGTGATGAGACAGCTTTCCGAACGAGCGGTAGATTAAAAAAAATGTAATGACTATTCAAAAGTGCTTCAATGTAAGTTTATTTGAATAAATGATTTTCTATTCTATTCTATTCTATTCTATAGCTGCATTAGAATGCAGCTATAGATTTATAATGTTATTTAGTGATAAGTGATTAATTAAAAATGGTAAAGTCAATAATCAAGAACATGATTCAGAGTAAAGTAAATCATCTAAGGCATTCAGAGTAACCTGAAACGAAACGGCAGAGACCAGAGCCTAAGTAATCTTTGTGACATTGACAAGTAGATTGATGGATGGGTGAAACTGACGTAGTGTATTATTATAAAAACAAATAAGAGATAGGTAATTGTACGCATTGGGGGTTTATTAGTTGGGACTGGGAGGATACCACAAGTAGTGAAGGTGAGTGTTAATGCATTCTAAAAGGGCCCTTCAAACCTACACCCGTGTCACGATTCTCGGGTGCTACTTGGAGTTCTCTCCCTGAACCGGTGTCCAGCATCACAGCCTAAGTCGTCATCACAACTAGTGGTTTTAAAAATGTATACCCACAAACTTTCATGTTTATAATAATATTAGTAAAATTACTGAGCAATAATTTATTTGCAAAAGAATTTATATTTTACAACAATAGTTTAATCTATTTTACAGTAAAGTTTCATCATAATCCGTTAAGTAGTTTTTGCGTGAAAGAGTAACAAACATCCATCCATCCAACTATACATCTATACCCACAAACTTTCATGTTTATAATAATATTAGTAAAATTACTGAGCAATAATTTATTTGCAAAAGAATTCATATTTTACAAAAATAGTTTTCATTTAAATAATATTGATTTACATTGCGATTTTCACTTTCAATTGATACGGCATGGTCTGGTGACTTCGACCTATTTCACATTCCAACGGTTCATTACACCGCATAATCTACTATTACACTAATGTACACATCACGTTACATACGTACCTACAATATATACACCGTGACTGGCAATAGACTCTAGATTTCTATTCAGTAAATACGATCCGCTGATCCGAAGGATAATAATTTTGACTTGAGCATATAATATCGGCGCTCCTTCCAACCTTATCACAATTTCTAATGTCATTACACAATTATCAGGGTTAAATATAGTGACAAATTCAATTTAAAAATGAATCTGTATTGTTGTAAACATGTACAACGTTTATTTGAAAAGAATACGAGCAGAGTTTCTTGCCAGTTCTTCTCATCTAGAAATAATTCCGAACTGACGGTAGATTTTTATCATAAGAGTCTGTAATAGATCTACATGAATAGAGATATTTTGAATTTGACAATTTGGTATATATATATATATATGAAATAAACAAATCTATCTGTAATATATATTGAATTATTTGGTATGACGTAAAATCCTTCTTTTTTCTTCTCATCAGAAGACCGGTCAGATGGATTGCCAGCCTCCTAAATCATTAGGTCGAAAAGTCTATTACCAGTACATATAATTTTCTAAATATCTCAAACATTTTTTTCAGAAAATTAACATAATATTTTTGACAAAATTAATTAATCAAATAGACCTTTTTAAATATCAAAATCATTTAATATTGATTAGTTTTAAATAATAATGTTTATATAAAAATCTCGCAATCTATACACAGTCTCTTAATAAAAAAATGAATATTTTAAAATTACAGATGTAGCTAAGGAATGTATTATAGAACAATTTGTACATAAATCTACCACAAAACATTTCATATTTTGGATCCGGATTTTGTTTTTATCAAAAATAAAGATATGGTGATATTAAATCTACATACCATTAGTCGTTAAGTTTATCTCAATATTTTCAAATGTTTCTGATAATTTACAGACGTGCGAGACTTCGGTATGAACTCCCTTAACGTATTCCCACTGCAGTAATCAGCATCAATGATACTACATCATATTCAATCAGTACCAAAACTTATTAATAATTAATATTAGTGAAGTACCTCTCCAAACTTTAAACAGACATTATAGAACTAATGCACATTTTTTAGCCATAAGACTAGAATCAAATATTGATTACGTATCCTACCTATTCCTTGCGTATCAAGGAACACTGACGGGTATAAACATTTGTGGATCACCTAATTTTGGCTCAAAACGGATGTTTACTTTTGTATCACCATCACCCACTTCAAGGAAACTATTCCAGTCCAACATCCAATAAAATCCGTTTTTCTTTGGAGGTGGCAGTTCTGAATCTCCAGGTTTTTCTGGTGCTGCTCCTCCAAAAGAATCTTCCAAATCTGTGATTGACGCTCCTGTGTCAGCAGATGCAGATTCGGCAGACTGATCAGATTCGACAATATTTTTATCATTTGCGTCAGTAGATGCGCTTGTGTCATTATTAAAAGTTTCGATTGTAACATTAATTTGCCTCTTATTCTGTTCATTATTGATATTTATTTTATCATTTATACTTTCTAACGGATCAATGCCTTGTTGCAAGGGTATAACTTTAACCGAGTCGTATGATATTGGCTCATAATTTTTAATATTTTCTGTTGACTTTGTTTGTCGACTCTTAGGTAAATCTAATGGTAGAACTGTTTTCTTATTTTCTGACGATGATGTCTCTAATTGAAGCGGTCTGTTTGAGAATAAGGGCTCTTGCAAATAATGCGGTGTCAAAGGATATTCATCTTCATTTCGAATGACAGGTACATGATCCGAATTGGATGAAATCAAGTCATATGTGAGTAATATATTTTCAGGTAATTGCACTGATCCGTCTACAACTTTCGCTGGCGGCAAAGGTTTGAAGCCTTCAAGGGGTAATAGGAAATGATCACTTCCTGGACTACCTTTTAAACCATGCTCGTCAAGGAAAGCTTGTAACTCAGCAGGAAAATCACGTTCTTTTTCTTTAGAATTTTGAGTACTTCTATTTTTATCCCTTATTTTATTAGTTAATCTTGAAGATTTAATAGGACTTGGTGTAACTTTGGATACCGGTACAACTTCCACTCTAGGTGGACGGGTGTACAATTCCTGTAAAGATGACCCATCGCGTGGTGTATACGGCAATACCACCATTACCGTTGGTTCACCTTTTTTTGTTGTACTTTCAATAGTAGTTGTTGTTGCTTCAGTAGATACAATAGGTGTTGCAGTTGTTAATACAGAAAGTGTAGATATTTCATTCTCTTTCTCATTGGTAATAATGTTATCATTAATATTAGGTAGTTGAGTTGCTACATGTGTTACATTTTCTTGACTCTGAAATGTATTCGTTTCTTGTGCTTGCTTCGTTGAAGATTTTGTCTTTGCATCTTCAGCTCTAATATTATTAAGTAGTTCAATTATTTCGTCTCTAGACAAGCGTGGTAGTTGAACATTGGCTTGCAGTATATTTTGTACTTGTTTTACTGTCTTTTCCACATCAATGGCGGCGAAAACTGACAATACAAATGTTGCAACCCAGCAGCATTGTAACAGCCTCATCGTCTGTAAAAGAATAAATAATACATTTAAAAATCTTAAACAATATGATGAAAGTCAGAATGAAGTAGAACTGACTGTATCCGTCAATATCAAACATTGACTGATGTCAGTTCTACTGAGAGGAGAAATAAAAATCACAGTAAGTTATGACAAAATTTAACTCCAGAACAAAATATTATAGTTCGAAATGACTATAATTATTTTAAAGAGCTAGTTTATGTTATTTAACACACACACCACTTTGGTTTTATCGAAGAATCTTCTTTAACAGTTAACAGTACAGAACATCTAATAACAATAAAAAATTATGGTCATTGTCACAATTATAAACGATAATATCTTGCTAATTGTGAGTATTATTTAATTGTAGAAGCACAACAACTGCTTGATGATGGTAGCGCACGCAACTAACTTGAGACTTTCTCGCCGCTCGAGCCGGCTCATTAAAATTCTGATGGCCGATGTGACGCAACAAGGCCTTTCCCACGTGTCTGTTTAAAAGTAAACCAACCATATTGTATCTGACTACGGCGAATAAAATCATGAATAGCGAATTGAATCCTTTTGTGATAATAACTAAAAACTCCTACGAATCCCTTGTTAAAATATAAGAGGAAGCGTTTATTCTTCTTACAAATGACGATAATTTCTTAAACGAAATAAAACTAAATCAATAGATAAAATAGGTTTATCACACGGTTTTTTTAATGAACAGACAAGTAAGGAAACAGCACCAATCTACTCAGAACCTGTGAACTTTTATAAATTACATTGATATGTAAAAGAGTTTAGAGGAATATCTAAATAGGAAGGAATTTGAAAAGATCTGTATGTAGTTATATGTGTGTCCTTTATGCCATACCATGCATATCTTCAAGCGAATTCTACACCATCGCATCTAATGTTCATTCAATACGCTCATTCAGTTAACAAAATAACACTAATATTGGCACATCATTCACGATTGGCCTCATCCCGTTATTTGTGGTCGGACAGTATGTCATTCTCTTCCACTGATCCCTATCGGCCATCACATCTGAGCATACTCTTTTTTTATAAACATCATCTTTCACACAATCCATCCATCTTTTTTTGCCCGTCCTTTCCCTTTACATCCAGATGTCCAGCAGTGGACGTCTTCCGGGCTGCGATGATGATGTACAACATTTTTTTTTAAAGAATACGAGCTGAGTTTCTTGTCAGTTCTTCTCATCTCGATTTGACATATCATAAGAGTCTGCAATAGACCTACATGAATAAAGATATTTTGAATTTGAATCCCCTTTACAACCCAAAATTTGGATCCATATAAATATTGTATACATAATTCCGACTGATAAATTAGAAACAAGACCCCGTGTATTATAAATAGGTTCGTAATTATATGTAAGCACACGACTCCGCGACAGGCAGCACGGAGATACTAACGATCTCATTAGTCAGTGAATATGTCGGTGACTTGTAGGAAATGCCTCATCTCAATATATAATCATTTACTTGTAACACAATTATTTATTTATGCTGCCGACACGTGTATTGTATAATATTTCGTTATGTTCTAACTTAGATACGAGAGTAAAAAAACGGATTTATAAAACGTTCATTCATTCATAATTTAAGAGCTACGCTCATGTCGGTGGAGCTCTTGCCACTTTTCGCGATCTTCTATCATGCTCTTTAATTCTTGATACGACACAACTCCCATTTTGTCCTCAATTTGTTAGATGCAGCTATTCCTTGGTCTTCCCCTCCCCCTCTTTCCTTCTATTTTCCTCTCAATAATTTTCATGAACTCATCGTGCCGTATCAAGTGTCCTAACATTTTTCCTCGTCTATTTTCTATTGTATTCAATATCTGCCTTTTTTCTTTTACCCTGTGTAGTACTTCTTCGTTTCTTACTTTATGCGAAACTATTTGTCAGTCTGTATATAACATATACAGACTGACAAATAGTTTCGCATATTAATTTTAATTGCATGAAAAGGACGAATAGGCTTTTATCTCGATAAAAACTGACTACAATTAATAGTTTTTTTTTTTGTAAAAGAATAAATTTCAAAACAATTTGAACAACTTAATAATTAAATCCAAGAGCAATACCAAATTACGTTAAACGAAAAAAATATTAATGTTGTGCACAAATTTCCAAAAACAACTAAACAATTTCACGTTACATAATAAATATAGCACTTATTATAATATTTTTATGTCTCCTACATATAGTCCAGCAGTTTATTTATTTATTTTTAAGAAGAATAATGCTGTAATTATTTTGCACACCGCTGTACGTCCGATGGTCGCGGGTTCGATTCCTCGCACGGCATAAACATTTGTATTCATGAGTATGATTGTTTGTGACGCTCTAGATGTTATCTATATATAATATCAAAAATCTATGTATTTGTATCAGTTTTCTAGTACTCATAACTTGAGTCTAGATGGCGCTGTGTGAATTGTTCTACCACCGCACCTCTCGCCATCGACAGGAAATTCATCCCCACACACTGGAACCTAAGTGGTCCCGAACAGTGCGGTTTCAGAGGAGTTTCCTCCCGCGTACACTTAGATTGTGGAATGAACTTCTGCCGAGGTTTTCCCACGAGACTACAGCATGGAGTTTTTCAAGAAAGGTATATTATGGTTTCTTAAAGGTCGACAACGCGATAGTGATACCTCTGGTGTTTCAGGCGCTCATAGGCTACGGTAACCATTTACCATCAGATGGGCCGTATGCTTGATTGCCACCATCGTAGTATAAAATAAATGTCCTGAGATTATTATTATTATTTACAGACGTTGATATCATAAGCATATTATTAATATTTTTACAACAAACAATACGGGATTCCGTATTATCTAACATTTGCAACAATAATGTGATATTATCGTTTATTATGACAAAAACCAGATACGTGACTGGTTATTCGAAAGTGAAAGGATGGCCTCCAATATGTACACGAGTGCGCACGCTCCGAGATGACTCTTAACAATACCACACGTACATTACCCGTGCAGCGATTACAGTATCCAATGCCACTAATATTAACTCGTCGATGGATGTTACATCCACGTTTGTAGCAATGAATAATTAATGTTTACAGGTAAATAGTAAGTCCTTTGCGGTTATTGAACGTTCTGCGGTATTGATGTATTACGCTATTAATGTTTACAGAGTAATCTTATTATATTATTATGTTGAATATAAATCGAAATATTCATATATTTATTTATTTATTTAAACCTTTATTGACCAATAAATTATTATACAAAAGGCGAAATTAATGCTATAGGCATTCTCTACCAGTCAACCTTCAGGAAGTGCCGAAATACTTGATGGTTAAGATCAAGTGTTAAATAATCTTATATATAAAATTCTCGTGTCACAGTTTTCGTTCCCATACTCCTAACGAAACGGCTTGACCGATTCTCGTGACATTTTGTGAGCGTATTGAGTAGGTCTGAGAATCGGCCAACATCTATTTTTCATGACCCCCAGTGTTCTATGACAAGCTGCAAGGGATCTACGACAGCGGTCATCTTGTTTTAACTTTATGTTTTTACACTAAACTTTACTACAGTTAGAAATTTACAAAAAATCTGTACCAGGGGTCTACCCCGAAACCGAAAAATATGGTTAGGGGTCTACAAAAAAGTTTGGGAACCTCTGGTCTATAACATAAGGATGAACTAACGTCTCATTACAGAACGTTCATATTTTACATCACGAGGTTACAAAAAAATCACATTATGTAATTTCTTTCCATGAACCCCGTTAGAGTGTTATACAATATGTTTACTAACGTAAGATAAATAAACATAAGATAAATAACAAGTTATGATGACGGTAGGGAAAAAATAAATTTATAATGTAAAAATTTGATGTTCATAAGCGGCTAAAATGTACATGAATAAATGATTTTTTAATTTGAATATAAACTATTAAATTTTTACTTGAATGTGTATAAAAATTGTATACAGAAATAAAAATCGAAATAATCGTTCTTCAAATGAACTTAATACAAACATTTTAGAATACTTTAATTTTTTATTCTAGTACTCATTCGGAAAGCGGTCTCATCACAAGAAGAACGAGCAAGAGACTTCCGTGTATAAATATAATATTGTTCAAATGACAAACATATTATAGTCAACATTTATTTGAAAAGAATACGAGCTGAGTTTCTTGTCAGTTCTTCTCATCTCGATTTCATTCCGAACAGATGGTAGATTTGAAATATCATAAGAGTCTGTAATAGACCTACATGAATAAAGATATTTTGAATTTGGAATTTTTTTGAAAAACTATTTATTAATATTTTCTGAAATTAAGTGAGAGATCCATATGGGAGTTAAATATCGTCTTAATTTAAAATTAAAATTAATCGAAATGCATTTATTTAATGTAAATAGTTTTTTAATTTATTGGATATCAAAGAAAACTGGCATGCACAGTCGGTATTATCCCATTATCTCTGGTAGTCAACCGGAAAATAACTGTTAGCACCGATATAAATGTGTTGTAAAATCGGCGCAGGGTGTTATTTTAAAGTCTAGTCACTAAACTACAATTTACTATTATTTTAATCATCATTACATAATACAAAACAAAGTCGTTATCGCTGTCTGTCTCTGTGTATTCTTAAATCTTTAAAACTACGCAAAGGATTTTGAAGCGGTTTTTTTAATAGATAGAGTGATTCAAGAGGAAGGTTTATATATATAATACATGTACATCCGTGCGCAGCTGGGGCAAGTAACTAGTTTATAACAAATACAACTAATATAAATACTTTGATATGTATGTTTTAGTAAATATATACATAGAAAACACCCAGACTGATAAAAATCATACAAATGTTTGTACCGAATCGAACACGGGACCATCGAAAGTAAAACGGTATGCCAAACCGCTAGACCATCGAAGCCGTGGTGAGTAGCTAGTTATCTAATAATTTAACCATGCTTTTGTATATACTGTAGTACTTATTTTTATATCTAAGGA